AACGTTTGGAGCGTTCGGCTGAACACTTTGCTATGCAATTTAACCAACCTGAGTTATCACTTTCTTCGGGCATTGAGCGCCCTTCTCCTTGGATCCGCCCTCAAGCGCAGAAGTCGAACGTGAGATCAGGCTGTTGAAATTGCATAAGGCCGCAGGAGCAGATACAATTCCTCCAGCCCTCTTCAAATTCGGTGGACCTGCTCTAGTGGATGATTTACACGAGTTGCTAGTAAAACTTTGGGAGCAGGAGACAGTCCTGACAGACTGGAAACGCTCCGTCATTGTCCCAATTTTCAAGGGAGGCTCCCGTTTAGAATGTGGCAATCATAGAGGGATCAGTCTGATTTCGATTGCCTCTAAATTGCTTGCCTCTCTCATTCTCCACAGACTGACTGGCACTCGTGAAAGCCAGATTCGTGAAGAGCAAGCCGGATTTCGTCGAGGTCGGGGCTGCATCGGCCACATCTTCACATTGCGTCAAGTGTTGGAGCACCGCCATGTTTATTGGCGACCCACCGTTGTCGTGTTTCTTGACATAAAAGGTGCCTTCGACTCAGTCGATCGATGTGCCCTTTGGGACTGTCTGTTGAGGAAAGGTGTGCCTGATAAATATGTAAACATTATCAAAGCGCTGTACGCACATAGTTCGGGCAGGGTGAGGGTTTATGGCAAACTCTTACCACCCTTCAGTATCACCAGCGGTGTGAGACAAGGATGCCCGCTGTCACCTTTCCTCTTCAACTTCGCTATTGATGAAGTCATAGAAACAGCGTTCGCCGGACACGACATGGAAGGTGTGGAGCTACTTCCTGGTGAGCGACTTCTTGACTTGGAGTATGCAGACGACATTGCCCTAATCTGTGACAGCTCCCAAACATGCCAAACAGCACTGGACCGATTAGCACTGGCTGTCAATCGTTTTGGGCTATGCTTTGCTCCATCGAAATGCAAAGTACTTCTCCAAGACTGGCAGGGATCCAACCCTGCGCTAACGCTTTGTGGTCATCTGCTAGAAGTCGTTCAGGAATTCAAGTACTTGGGCGGCTATATTAGCATCTGTGGGATTGAAGATGAGGTTACGAACCGTATAACAAAAGCTCGAGGTGCTTTTGCCAATCTCCGCCACTTGTGGCCCAGACTGGACATTACTCTCGCTCTGAAGGGCAGAGTTTACAACGCAGCCGTCCGTCCAACTCTCCTATATGGCTGTGAAACCTGGCCCATCAGATCGACAGACATGAAGAGACTCGTCACATTCGATCATCGCTGCCTTCGCAGCTTAGCTCATGTCTGGTGGGAACACCGCGTGAGCAATGAGCGTGTTCGGCGTCGCGTAGTTGGTGCAGGAAGAGCGAGTGAACCGCTCAGCACCATTATATTACGCACCAGGCTCCGATGGCTGGGCCACGTGTTGCGCAAGCCAGCACACCAACTCCCGCGACGTGCATTGTTTGCGCGTTGTGGGTGCGGTTGGAAGAGGAGGAGGGGAGGCCAAGTGATGACTTGGTCGAGAGAAATGAAAACCCTCACTTCGAAGTTAGCGTCGGTTGGTGCATCCCGACTGCCTGGCTGGGGTCCTAAGGACGGTGAACACGTCTGGTTGGACACACTTGCTGATATGGCTAGGAGCCGGCCCCAATGGCGTTTGTGTTGTGAGTTCCTTTGTCCATCCCCCTCCTGTTTAGCATCCCCCTGCAATCACGATCTCAATCGTTAGGCATAATATGACTTTCTTTTACGGCAGCTAGCTGTTAGCTCTCCGGAACGATGTCCATCCGTTACTGGGAACTCAGCGGGCGTGCCACTGTTTGCTTTTATTTTCTTGCCTTTTGTATTGCGGCACAATAGCTGAGGTGTTTTCCACCTCCAGCTAACGTGTAATGATGATGATGCGTTCGAAACAGAGTTGGTGAGCGACCCGCTTCAAATCCGGTACGATAAGTTTATACCGGTTTCCTCTTGTGCAGATGAAGCAGTTGTCTCAACATGGGGTAATCACTCAGATGTAATATCCGGTGCGTCATGATGAGGTCAACTCTCAGCCGACGATAAGCTAGGGTGTACAGCTCTAGTTTCTTACATCGGTCTTCATATGGTATACCTTGTAAGTTGGGAATCAGCCTAGTGGCTATATGCTGCACCCGCTCAAGCTTTTCTACCTCGCCCCGGATGATGGGACAATACGCGGAAGAGCCGTACTCTAGCATTAGTCGTATTATCGAGACGAAGAGGCGAGTAGCAATCTCTTCGGACCAAGTGCTGAAGCTGCGCCTGAGGGCCCAAAGCATCCGTAAGCTGTTTTGGTACAGCCTATTCGTGTTGTCAATGGACTTTAGGTCGCAGCGTGAGAGCACACCGAGGTCGCGCACGAAAGACGGGGGATGGAACGGTTGACCAGCCACTGTGTACGTTCGGCTGTGCTCACACTTACCCAACCTCATAAATTGCGACTTGACCGGGTTGATCGGAAGGTTGACCTCTGCAGACCACCTTGAGAGGCGGTCGGGATCCTGCTGAAGTAAATCACAATCATTGGGTTTTCGGATTATTCTCCATACCTTCAAGTCATCTGAGAACAACGCACAAGGTGATTGGAGTAGCTGAGGCACATCGTTTACATGGATCAGAAACAAAATCGGCCCGAGTACAGTGCCTTAGGGCACGCCGCTGCTCGATGGATACCAATCAGTTAGATGGTTGTCTAAGTAGATTTAAGCTGCTGCCTTAACCGTTGGTACAAAAGTGAAACCGAGATGCTAAAATGCCCGACAAATCTACTGTAGTACACCGGGACGGAAAAACAACGCACTAAAACTGTGCTTTGAGTACGAAGATGGGGTGTCTAGAGTCGACAATATTGTATCAGGCAGCTTCTCGAGCTCCCCGTGACCCACAGTACGACAAAGCAGATTCACAGAAGTTGTTCCGGCCTGAGAAGCTGGCCATGTATCCTTGATCCTGGCTATTGAACCTGTGGTCAAGTTGTTTCCAAATGACGACAACGCTGTCGCTGATTGACTGTACATAATTTCTCGGTACACAGCTAAATTCTCTAAGTCATCCAATAAGCGCAGCACCCAACTGCAGAAGATGGAAGGCACCGGATGCGCCAAACGGCGTTCCATAAAGTGGCGGTGGTTCTCGCCAACTGTAAACGCGCTTTCAGTTTACACGTCACCAACCTGCTATGGTACAATACCGGGAATCTTCTGGTTGCTGCAGTGTGTTAAATGTATGCGAGTGATGGCACCGAGACGAAACGAACTAACAAGAACTTGCTTAGCATTTTTGAAGTACATGTAGAAACGGCACAAAGTGGTTGATGCGCCTCTTCTATTAAGTCCACAATCAAAGCCCCTTGTATTTGTTTATTAAATTCCGTCTCCAGAGTTGGTGACGCCAATATGTACGACGCCTTAGCGTGTAAGCTCGATACCAAGAAAACATGATACAGAGACCAAAATGAAGAAAGATTTGTGCAAGCATACCAATGGATTTTGAGTAGACGTCAGTTGAGTCGCATTTGATCGGCCGGAGGCTGAAAGAATTACACATCTGCTTTTTAATCCGGAAGTCATCGGTCAGTAATCATTGTGGAAAGCGTTGCATGCAACGACCAGGTGGCATAAGTGCAGATGTTTTAACCGACATACTAAAGTCTCGGATTCCAGTCAGTCCTGCTATCTTTGCTTGACGAGTGTAAACGAATACAAAAGCACCCGTGGAATGCAGCGTTTCGAGATAGCAACATCCAATATTTTCAATCAGTTGGTCCCTCTTAGCCAAAAAAGACCCCCTGGAAAGGAACTCTGACTCAGCCCAACGGGGTGGTTGTAACTGCATCGGAAGCTGAAATGTAGTGCACGAACAGCAGTCGAAAATGTATGACATAAAGGCGCTAGAACTGGAACAGCTGGAGGACCTAACCGAACTCACAAGTCATGGACATCTGCGGAATTTATCGAAATTACTGCGTCATACTGGTCTGATATGAGAAACTCAAGCGTAGGGTCAAGTATTGAAATCCAGCACTTATCCTAAAGTGCCCCACAGACAAGTCAAGGATGAACGACCACATGCCGTTTCAAGGCGACCACAACAGGGCCTACACGCGGTCATTTTGGAATTTACTGCACTTCAATAAGGCCGTGCGAAATATTGAGCATACGCCACCAAGGTACTCACGTATTCCCACTCGCAGGACGTCTGTTGCCGTGTGCCTGCCGGTAGAACGATTTTAGACTAAATGTGTAAGATGACAGACTACTCGGGACAAGCAGAGAGGGTTTGGAAAATTCAAGCATTCTATCTATCCGTACATGCTGAACGCGCATGTGACGGTCCCATATGAAATACACTATCCAAATCTGGCGTCCGTGACCGAAGCACGACGCTGATGCGTTTAAAGCTACACAACATAGGCCGACCAAGGTAAAGGATTTGTTGTATTTCTCCTACCAACGTATCAAAAGTCCTTGGCTTGTACAACGGTGAATATCGATGTCTGCGAGGTGACTTCATTATGATGCACCAGATACCGAGGAATCCAAAAAGACTTTTGTCTATCGTTCGTAACAGCAAGTGTTAACCCGAAAGGCCATCAGCTGCAAGTGGCCACGTACTACAATTAAATCAACCGCGGACCAAAAATTCTCTCTCTCTCCAAATACTCCGGACAAGAAAACTCTTCCGTTTCATGATATTTCGGCACCTACATTATTGCTTTTCAAAAGACAATATACTGTCCCGTTTGTACCAACTGGATTTAGAATCAATCTAAGGATGAAACCAAGCAAAGCAAACGGTGTGCTCTTTAGCCCATATTCGCAAAGTGACACAGAGGAAATGTTCACATGTGAATCGCAAGATGAGTCCGTAAAAAACACCGCGTTTTCGTGTTACCTTTGCTTTTGGTCTGTAACACTTGTTCCGGCCAAGCCCATGCCTTCACGCCCATCTTTATTCTTTAATGCCAATCGGAGTAGAGAACCAACACCATCGAATTAGTAAAGCTGTGTTGAGACCACCGTATAGTGAACAAAAGACAATGGCGATAACACAGAAGTTGTTCATGCGGGGAGGTGGATGAGGGCCATAGTCCGGATCAACAGTGCAGAAAACTAGGATACTAAGAAGAGGTCCGGTGCGTACGGACGGACGGGAGGAGGGTTGGATAAAACGAAACAGCTGCATAAACAATTGCTGATGCAAAGGGGACGATGCAATAGCAGCACGTGTATCATAGTTAGAAATCAGCAGACCAGATGGAGAATGACTACAACAGGGTGGTGGGATTAGTAACTCAGAAACTGCTAAGACATCAACGACTCGGAAACAAAACAAACAAGATACAAACGGCAGATGATTGGAAATATTATAGGGGACTCCAAGCGCCAGGAGCAAGGGGGCAGGGAAGAATGGAAGAAACGTGGCCTAGTGGTCGGTCCACTTTGGTGATGATAACGTAACTGGAAAAAATACTCAAATCAATATAAATTACAAAAATAGTACTAAACCAGATGAAAAAAATGTAGAAAATCGCATGCGATCGGTAGGCAGTAGCGCGGTTGGAAATGAAACAACAACCCCGGAGACTTTGATTGCACATTGACGAGAGAGAGACATGTAAGTGAAGACGCAGGTCCAGCAGAAGCAACGGAAGAAGAAGAGGTGAAAGATGAGATAGCATGTAAGTCAGTGTGTGATGTGACGTCGGGCCAAACCACCAACTGGTTGGATTCGCGTAACAGTGTCAAACTGCAGCACCGACCCGAAATGGGTCCCGCCAACAGAAGAAGAGAGTAACCTTGAACAAGATTAACAAATATGCGTAGGAAGCAAAGGCTAATAGGAGAGGAAATGCGAACCTCGGCGGATGAGCAGTGGGGAAGAGACATGGTCGATAAATGGGAAGCGTCCGTGTGTGTGTGAAACCATTGGCATATTCTTAAAGGATATCTCAAAACACATTGTATATAAATTCGCAAAACATGTATGAAAGTTGGTGTAACACAACAAAAGAGGAGGAGTAAAAAGAAAAAAGGATTATCTAATAACTTGCAACAAAATCCACAAATTCAAGTCTGTTGAAGCCGGTCAGTCTACGAGCTTTGTATGCAGGCGAAAATCTATAAACGCAGATGCAACAGTAAAAACACTACGAAAATATTTTTTCAAGTTTCTTTGTCAAATTGTGATGCGAGGAAAATTAAAAAAAGAGTACGAAAATGTGTGACTGAGGGAGGGTACGCCTGTGTGAGAGGGAGAAAAAAACTCGCGCAAAGCCATGTGAAACTCGATAGCAAACAGAGAGGATGTGTTGCTGTAGAGTGTCAGCCTCTCGAAACAGAAAGGCTGAATGGAAGTTGTTGTTGTTGCGGAAACCCAGGGTATAACACAAACAGATGGGTATAATGAGTGAAGACATCCACAAAATGACAGTAGCGTATGGTCGACATCACACGCAAGTGAGGATGTAGCAGCACTAACAGAGTGAATACAAAGTGCAGGAAGCCAACTACTGTACCTAACCGCGTGGATATTGAACAAGTCCCAGATTGGCTACAAGAAGGATGGAAAACGACGCGAGGATAGTAGTATGAAACACAGAGTACAACAGTTGGAAAAGCCACTACGAGAAGTCAGTCGTCTTCATCTTGTGCGATGAAATTCAGAGTACAAGTGCGTAGTATGGAAAATAGCGACAGGGGCAAAGGCAAACTACAAACGGATAGATAAGGTGGATCTCGGAAATGCCTTCAGTACGGGTGTGTGTGTGTGTGTGTGTACGAGCCAAGTGTATAAAAACAAATTTGGTGAAAGCCAAAGGTAGAACAGGTGAGCCAGAAATGCAGTCATACACGCGCGAATACGCGCGACAAATACGATGTGCCAGCTAAAGTTTGATGGACTGGAAGTGTGTGTGGACGGTCCTCGGCGAACGGGAAACGGACACACAGGAAGATCACTCGTCGTGGTGTAAGAACGAAAAATTCAACCTCAGAAACAAAAGCACATCCACCCCTCGAGAGTGGAGGGGAAAACAACAATCGAGTGAGAAAGATACAATAGAAAGCGTATCCGACAAAATGAGCAAACGAGCAACGAGGAGGCGGAGGGATCAGGCATACAAAAATAACGTGCCCAAAGCAGGCAGACTGACCGGCTCGAAGGAACACAAAACCTAACTGGTGGTCCAACGGAACCGAAACTAGATGTGGGTAGTGGATGAGGACGTGAAAGCACTGTAAGTTAAAAATAGGGGGAGAGCGTGTGAGTGTGTGTTGAAAAGGTGAGGTGAATAGTCAAGCGGTGTAAACAAGAACCAGCGCGCAACAGTGAGGGGACAATGGATAAAGTGGGGTTCCAACGACACAGAGGGCAAGTTTGGCTGCCGAACGCATTAAGGAGCCGCGAGGTAAATGGCCATAGAATGACACAGCCTTTCTGAGCCAGTGGGAGATCACGAGAACAATCCGGAAGATGCGTGTGTGTGTGATATTGCCTTATTTTGACCATGTGCGTTCAAACAAAGTGTCTCGAGAGCAGCCAAGTGTCAACTCCAACGGGAAGTAGGCACTCCGGACAAGAGGGCGATGATGACGTTGTGATACACACATCGAAGGTAACGAACCACAAAAGATATAACGAAAGAGAAAAATAGCATAAACAGTTTCAACGAAGAGAAATAATGGGCAAAACGACGGGGGATCACAGCTAGAACTAACATGCTAAGAAAAGGGATCGCCTCCCGAACGGGACGGACTTGCTTCGGAAGAACGAAGTGACCACATTAGGGAGGAGACTACGCAAGCAAATGGGAGAAAATGAGAAGTTAACAGTGAACACAGAGGCAAGGAGGACAAATGATGGGAGAAGAAGAGAGATCACAGACTAAAGGTTGGCAATGTGAATGAAATCTCACTACGACAACGAAGCAGAATGACCGAAGGATGCCGCCGCTGCCGCCGCCGCCGCGGGCCAGCAAGGAGAGTAGTCATCACACGTAGCCGACGAGAGTGGGCAAACGGAAAGCGAATATGTGAGTAGTGAGAGAGCGAGCGAGCGATGAAATGAAGACAAAAAATAAAAGCTGTTGAGGCGTTGCAACCTAGGGGGATACAACCATATGGCTGGGTGCCAAGCTTTCACAGGAAAAGAATGGCTGCTAGGTGGGAACATTGGGAACGCACACAGGCGAAAGAACAAATCACAAAACCCAAACATCCCAACTGGGGAAGGGATTGGAGAATCATGTGCTGCGAAACAGAACCGGATAGGCGACGATGGGTTCAAATCGTTGACCTAATACATCGATTATTGCCTCTACCAACGATAGAGTGCAGGTCGGGGACGTTCCGCACCTTCTTTGACTAGGGGTTTGTGGTACTCGCGGCCGTTCCGGCTGTGGATTTGAACCCAACATTGCTCACAATAGTACTGCAGACAGGTGACGTTGGCGCAGAAGAACGGCGCGAATTTGCCACCGCATCGGGCACCTTGACATTCGTCGCACATTTGATTGTCCAACACGTACGGTTTGACCTCAACCTATTAATAGCAAGAAAGAGAGAGAGAATACACATACTGGGGGGGGGGTAAGACGGTATTTAAGTAGGGGAATTAGCAGACGAAACTGAGGGAATGAAAAAACGACCAACGATGGTAGCGCAAGAAACGCACCGGATACAGCCAAGTGAGCGAATAATAGTGATTTGTGAAAAACCTGTCAAGTTCGGAGTCCACCAAGGATTTTGTCCGGCATCAAGTGAGGAAAGGTGGAGACACAGCCTGCTGGGGTTTAAAGAATACCACGATCTCTGCGGGTGATTCCGATTTGAAACAAGAAAATGAGCTAGAAACTAAGAGAAGATATTGCACCACCGGTGTTATTCATTGAAAACGAATCATCGGCCGGGACCAAGTTAATGAAATATCAGTCGAAGCGCGTACTCGTTCCACTAAACGATCCATCAGAGTGTAGTTGGATTGGGTAACTCCGTGGTGAAGCTGTTGGAATGAGTGACCAAGTTCCGTTGTTCCACAACTGTGCACAGAATACCTGACAGTAACACAAACATGGCGTCGAAGTGCGGTGAATTCAAGTACATTGATTCACATCACCTAGATCAGGAAATCGAGAGGAGGAAATAGATTACTTCAGGAAGAGTGGCGTGAAAACACGGAATTACTTAGAATGTGAAGTGGACGGCCATAACCGAGGGCATGAGCGAAATGGTGCCGCTAGAACCGTGGTTGTACCATATCAGCATCAAGAGTCCTGGATGTCAAGGTGATTGGACGCAAGACTCCAACATGAGAAACGGGATGTGTGAGACGATCACTTAGCAGACGTTTTCATATCTTATCACCTTGCCGTTGATTGACGATCTAGGTGTAGTATTGATACAAGTTATACTTGCTGAGGTGACATTAGCAGGACAAGCCTCATCCAGCGTAGACGTCTAAATTCAACGGACACTTCGATGTGACACCGAAAGGTGTATTGTAGAACTCCAAGAAGCGGGGCTCAGTAATACCCATTCGGTGCTGTGTACTTTGTAGCGGATCAGTAGAGAAATAGAGTCTGCCTTCGGCGCGTATCGCCCACACCCCCAATTCATACGAAAGACCAGGGTTCACTTCAATGGGAATCGCGGTCAACATTGAGATTGCGAGTCGCAATCCATCCAAACAAGGTGTACTTCAAAATGACCCACAACATCGTTCATTAAATCGTTGTGCCAAGCGTTTCCCGCCGTGATCCGGTGGCTTAGGGGTACCGGTCACAAATAACATCCCAATGGTCCCGGGTTCGATGCCAGCTAACTCTATCTGATGAGATGTAATAACATCGAAACGCGTCTTAATAGTACAGTGTTTTCGGGCGGACAACATCCAATTTCTATTTATGTAAATAAACATTTGTTTGCTACATCGTTGCACATCCCACCCCAACGTATGGGAGTACCGCCACCGTCTCCGTAAATAACTGACGTCTTGAAGAGACACTTGAAGCCTACCGGTGTCACAGATTGAGAGAGGGGAAGTGTCTGCAGTGCAACCAACCAAGGCGTTCTCAAACGTGTGTGATCCTCTGAACGGGAACGACATGTGCGCATGGTCTAGGAGACGATGCGTGCAGCTGCCACCTAAACAACTGGAGTAAACACAAATAAACGGTATACTTCTTGACATCGTGAGATACAGTCCAAGTAGGTGGTCTGATCAAGTTATACAGTGGGATCGCGTAAGAGGAAATTGTTCAAGGCGGTTCCCAAACGAGTTTTCAGATCAATCGTTAAATGTGCTATAAAGACAGATAAGTTGATAGTAAGAATGAATATAGATACGGCCAGACGTTCAAATGAAGTAATATAGTCATTCGTGAGACCCACTTCTATGGAGGGTGGTCGCTAGCTGCTTAAACAAAATGAGGTTTGCACAATGTCAGAAGCACCAGCTTAAATTGGTGATAAATTCTCTCGGTGCGATATTGAATGGAAAATAACCAGATCATGCCGGTGCCCGTGGTGTGAAAGAAGAAGCGTGTACTAAGCCATGTGGAATTTAGCGAAACAGCTGGGACAACTCCGTATGACAGATGACCAGAAGGTGAAAAATTTGAGGTGCAGCAAACAGTTGGACATGCGTCTAATCGTGACCCACGGAAGTTCAAAAACAGCAAAAATAGGAACTAACAATTACAGTGATTGTTTTTTTTGCGGCAGACAAAAGGGGCAACGAATGATGGGGGAAGGAATAGGTAACATGTGGTGCATTCGAGATGTCAGAGTAGTTTGTTGGAAACGAATCAAACAAATGAGTATGAGTAGCTCATAGGTCTCGAAGCATTGGTTTGTGCGCACAAATTGAAACGAGACAACTACGGCGCAATGAATATCTAATGAGGTGGGGGTCAAGGACCGAGGTCGATGAAAAACATCCACTAGCCAACAGTATGCCGAGGGGGGGGGGGGTCGACGTAAGCAATCGATTAGGCGCAACTACGCTCCGGGCTACTTAACAGAAGCGTCGACTTTCACAGTAAGCGCGAAGCCAAAAACCATCAAACTGCAACCACCCACCCACCCACCCGACCTAGCCGTGTCATGTTGCTTGTGTCGGATTGGAAGAATTTCGAGACAGTGTTAGTAACTGCAGTGTTGGTGTGGCAAACAGGTGTGGAGACGCGCGCGCGCGCAAACAGCGAGTAGAAGCAAGGCTAACAGCCACAGCAGTGGAGGCAGACGCACGTCCGTATCGACCGGTGGTCATATACACACGGGTTTTCCCGAATTCAGGTCGTTTGAGATGCAAGCACACGATTGGTTAGCCGAGTGACGACGACGACGACGTGTCCTGAATTCGAGTAGGACAATAGGCTAAAAACAGCTGAGCGAAGCAGAAAATATGGATGGGTGGATGGATGAGGAAAAGGGAAAGAATTCATGGAGCCTGCTGTGCGAGAGTGGTGAAGGAGTTGATCGATGCAACGCATCGGAGAAACCACTACGCACCAAAATGGTAATAACAACGGCGATAAGTTAGCAATTATGCTGAATCAAGAGATAAGAGTTAAAACTATGAGATGGAGTAGCTGAGTCAGAAATAAGAGAGCGAATGTAACCGCGGCGTGGTTGTAGCCGATCGTAAGATTTGTATCATTCAGGACAGACGACACAATAACCCCTACTACCCTTCCAGTTAGTACCTTCATGCCATTTTGCCAACTTACGGAACGATCACTTCGGGAAATCTTCCAATTAGGAGCAACATTAGTAAGAAATACAGGCCGATGTGTCAGACAGGTAAGTGCGCGTATCAAATGATTTAATTAACACAGGCAGCTTAGAATCAATAGGTAAACCATCGCGGAACGAAAGGACATGTTGATAGACTCCAGGTGATATGAGAAAGTGGCTTCTCAGTCAAGGAATTCCTGGATCCGAAGATCAAAACTGCTGGCGGCATGTCGTAAACATGCACAGAAGTGGAGGACGATTCGCGCGCCATACTACCGAATGACAAACTTTTGTATCGCTTGTTTAGCGATCCTGCGAGATAAACAGTAGGTGTGTTGCTTGTATAAAAGCATGTGCAGATTGCTGATAAAATGTAGTAAACATCATCGAGAGCAAGTTTACGACCACAAGTTTCCATATGAGGATCTATACTGGATATCACATAGAATCCGGTAGACCGGGTGCTCGAAAGCCAAGATACTTTGGAGAAGATTCGTTGCAGCTAGACTCGGCGAAACAGCCACCACAATCCAGGAAAGCGCTGGTGATGGCTGAATCTAGCTACAACGAATCTTCTCAAAAACAATAACCCCCCCCTACTACTCACTAGCCCTCATACTCACAAAGACTCCATTAGGCCAGAGTTCCTTGACTTCCTACGATTCAGCCAGTCTTGTTTTCTTGTAGCGATACCTCGTTTAAAATACAGTGTCATAGATGTTTGTTTCTGCTCGACATTTTATGTCTCATGAAGCCGAGTAAAGGCCCGTGCGAAACTTTACCCTAAGTTCACCACATGATTGCTGTATATTCCTCCTTTCCTCATCAACTCCGTGATCATGAATGATTCCAACCTGCATTCTTCCACCTACTATGGAGCAGAGGCTCTGCTCGGCGAACGAAAATCAAACTGGAAGCATGTGTACGATCCAGTGCTCTCTGGACCGAAACCACTTGTTAAGCTGACAGCCGAAGAGGCCGACATGTAGATTTGCACATTTCAGTATGTGCTTTGCATCAGTGTGCAATATACTAAGACAGAACTGGATCGACATGTTCCAAATTTCACAATCAAATGACCTATCAGTCCATTTAGTTAGGTATCTGCATCACTCCCGGTGGTCAAGTCTCTGAGGATACCACACAAAGTACTTCCAAGACACATATGAATTATCAAAGTCCTCATCGCCGATCGGGAATGTGAAATATTAAAACCCATTGGATAAGGAAAAGTTTGCAACACTACGATGCAACTAGTGTTACTGTACTCAGAAGGGAACTGACCGCTAAAAGCCGTAAACATCAGAAGAGTGATGGTGTTTGACTAAAGGTGCTTGCACAACTGAAGAACCGAATGAGCAATGCCAAAGCTGTTCAGCAACTGGTGTTTCGTGATAAAGTGTTTCCGATACCTCATCAAAGTGCTTGTTGGATTCAATTGGTTTCCTCTGAGTCAAGCATGTGCTCCGCCACATGCCAGTGCGCGAGATGCCTCAGAATGAGTTGCATGTCAATAGGGCGCCTAGTTAGATGAGACAAAGAGGTTGTCAACTAATAGCACGGCATAGAAGCATGAACAGTCTCAATGAAGAGCTAAGCCGTACCGGTATTCGTTGAATTCCCCAGGGCAGACAACGGGATAGGCCACCATCTGATAGGACGGAATTCCGAAGTCAGTCGCGTGCTTGTATTAGACTGCTGATGATTGGCAGTTAACTACTCCACCAAGTGATTTTGTTTCATACACATTGCTCTTTTGTAGCCATAACAAGTACAACCTTTTCATCTCAACTCGGTGCACGGGTCTTAACGAATAAGCCGAGCTGAACACATTGTACCGGGTGTTAGCCAAATGCCTCCACCACTAGACTATCGAGCAACGCTTGCACCGGCGGTTCGATATCCACGTGCAGAATCGCAAGCGTAACATATGAAGACTGACAGCGCGATTACACAGCGTTGCGTGATCAAAAATGAATCACAAGGGATGCTGGGGACTTCCGTATGAACACTATGATCATTTAAGCGTTCAAATGCGTCTCCCACGAGAGTGCACACTCCACCGCGCCCAGAATGACCAGGTCAAATGAGAAGAGGAGCCCATAGGCCAGTGGAGGTGTCAAATACTGTCCCAGTAGCTCTATACAGTCCAAGGAGTGTGCGACTGAAAATCTTCTAGGAACTGGTGCGGGCCGGTTTGGCCAATCCTCATAGGCACTCGTAGGCACCGCGTCTGTCGTCGGACGTATACGAGTATGACAAATCTACTTGCTGAAATGCTGCTTCGTAACTAGAGTGGGTGGACGCCGTGCATCGGATGAAAGAGGGTAGCACGCGCTCAGTGAAGCCTCGGTCACTTCGCCTAGGGGAGGCCGCCTG